TTTGGGATTCCTATGCACACCGATCACGACATTGTAGAATATCCTATAGATGACAATATGACCTAGGTTAAGCATACTACGGTAGTTTGGGTAGATATAGGACTACCCCTCTGGCAGGCCCACACATATACAGCTTGGATGTTCCGGGACAAGGTAGATGAGTTTGGCCCCGTCCGTGGCTTCGACATCCCCTTTGATGGAGTTGGGGATTGGGATCCATCAGCCATACCTCTTCCTGATGGCGAGATGACTAGTTTGGAGACTAGTCTAGCGCAGTCCGGACTTCAGCCTGCGCCTGCAGCACCTGAGCCCCTAGGGGCCGAGCATGATCGGAAGCCGAAAGAATCCCAGGCGGGGTATAATCCTATGGACGTGGATCTCGAGGTGATACCAGAGGAAGAAGAAGACCCTGAAGCAGAACCTGAAGAGGCCCTAGAAGTAGAGCCTGAAGATGAGCCTGAAGAGGAACCAGAGGACGTACTCGAGTATGTGTCAGAGTACGATCCCAAGTTTGTACCAGAGGATGAGTCGGATGAGGAGCCAGAGGAGAAGGAGCGAGTCGAGGTTCCAGCAGAGTCGGGTGATATAAACAACCCGATTGAGATCGAGGCTGAGCCGGAGTCCTCAGAGGAGCAGACAGTTCAGAGGGATTCAGATTCAGGTGCTGAGGAGTCGGATTCAGAGTGGACGCCGTCTCGAGGGCGTAGGGGCTAGTATAGGGATTAGGTAGACCTTTTGACATGTCCCATTTTTGGAGATAGGGTATATCCAGGCTGCTGATTCTTTTTGATATCGGTGGTAAATAGTTTAAAAGTTCGGTGTGCATGTATATGTTGTGGTTATGTAAATGGTGGATATTGTATAAGATTGAATAAGTAATGGATATGTTGATACTCCCTTTTTACCCCTAGTAAATTCTTGTCTAGGTATTGGTGGCTTTCGCTGATGTTTTAAATCTCTGATAAGTTTGAATTGGGTGGGCGATACCCTGGGACGTCGCATCATTCGACCAGAGAAATGTGTCGCGTGCTTGATGGGGTTCGAGGCGTGACACGTTTATGTCACAAGTAAGCAGAATTCTCCTCAACTAAACTGCGTTTAGTGCCAACATTATGATACAAGGTCATTAAGGTTTAAACAAAAGCATTATCAAGTTTAAACTTGTAGAGACCATCATATAAAATTCCAGTTCCAATAAGAATATTATTCTTAAAAAAACTGAAAGATCCAGAACCAAACTTAAAAGAAAATCCCACTACATCTAGTTTTGGCAAAGAAACTAAATTGCAGGAAAATATAGGTACATAAAGGGTTCGAAACAAATCCAAATAATATCCAATATCTAAGATCAAACGATAAGTGCCAATGCCTTCAACTGGAGCTTCGTTTCTATTCGCCGTGAACACATAGTTATCATTTGGCTTTATGGTTTGGATCAAAAGAAATCCTTGCATCATATTTAAAATATGAGTGGTGGCACCAGAATCAATCCTCCAAGTATTATAAGGAACTTTCGTAAAGTTTGATTCAAAACATACTAAAGCACAAGGCTTACCTTTTTTTTTTCAAACCAAGCTTTATGTTTCGGGCAATCTTTCTTCAAATGTTCAATTTTATTATAAAAGTGACACTTAATAAGATTGCGTTCCTTCTTGTGGATTTGAGAAGCCTTAGAAGAGTCATTCAAGTTGTGTAAACCTTCCTTCTTGCTCCTTCCACCTTTCCTTTTGAAATTCTTTTCAGCTTCTTAATGACTTAAGAGATGAATAGAATGAGCCTTTTGATTCTTTATCCTTGTTTCCTCTTGAACAAGCATACTGGCCAATTCATTTACATTCCACTTATCCTTTATAGTGTTGTAATTCATCTGAAATGGCCCATATTGTTCTTGAGGCAAGGAATTAAGTATGAACTATACTAAAAAGTACTCATCCACGTTCATTCTCAAAGTCCTTAATTTTACTGCTAAGTTTGTCATCTCAAGTACATATTCATGCATGGTACGTGAACCATCATATTTCATAGTGGTCAAAGTGCTCATCAATGTACTAGCGAGTGACTTATCAGCAGTTTGAGAACGCTCTTCCACAGATTTCATAAATTCCTTAGCACTGTCAGGTTTGGGAAGAGTGATCTTTAAGTTGTTTGTAACTATCATTCGCATAAACATTAAGCTTAATCTGTTCGATCTTTCCCAAGCTTTATGGAAAAACTTTTCATTATTGCTACTCTCATCAGTAATAGCAGCTGATTTCTCAACTTGAAGTGCTAAATCAAGATCCAGGACACCTAGGTGAAACTGGACTTGTTTACACCAATCAAAGAAATTCATTCCATTGAATAAAGGATAAGACGAAGCATGCGAATGAAGAGAAATAGGTACAGATATTGCAAATATGCAAGACAATTTCTCATACATTAATGCTTTGAAAACATCACATAATCAGATTCAAATTAAACAATACATATACATTGTAGTTCTCCTTTGGATGATCCTACGATATACAAATATAAAAAAACATAATGATGCTAGTAACTTTTCTTTGGAAATTATAAAAACACCTCATTAAAATTTATTTGCTATCTTTGGATATACAAACAAATCTAACAAAACATATTAATTACCAACTATTACGTTCATGAATTATACGAAATTGATTAACCTTTGGGTGAATCCCTAAGTTCTTATAATAAATGAATTTCAATATACCCATGACACCAATAAGGATATGAAACATATCAATATCAGTCATAGCATCAATCAATCATGGGTAATTGAATAAAACATCATACAATTTCAAAAATTCAAGATACCTTAATGTTCGGCCACTTTGGTGACTAACAAACCATTCAAAATTGAATTTCTTAAAATTGTAAACCACAATAATTGTTTTATGCACAAACATTCACCATATTGCATGCTTAGAGCAAAACCGTAAATTAATGCATAAGGGAAAAACTGTAAAATCAGAATTCCATAGGGGTAGAACCGGAAATTTAGCAGCCAAGGGCAAAATGGTAAATCAAAGCGGTCAAGGGCAGAAACGGAAATTCGTTGGCCAAGGGCAGAAGCGTAAATTTACACCAAGGGCAGAATCGTAAATAAAGAGGAGAGGAGCAATAGGCCCATGCACGGTACGCGCCTTCATTGCCGCGCGAGCGCGTGCAGTGCACGACCTGAGGCTTGCATGGGTGCGTGCAGTGCACGCACCTAGGCCTGCATGGGCGCATGCATTACACACGTGCAGGCGCACGTCGTGCACGCGCCTGACCTACAGCGTGCGCGTCACAAGCGTGGCGCGTGGATCCATGTGCTTGCAATTGCACAGCGCATGGATTCCACGTGCCTTCTTCATTGCGTCCATTCGCCATTTTTTTTCTCTCGCGCTTGTTCGCCAATTTTTCTCCGATTCCGCTTCCATCAAAACCATTTTTTTTTTGGTCAAACACCAAAACCATTTCAACAACAGACAAATAACAAGAAAAAACCAACATCATTTGACGAATCTAAACCCAAAAGCCATAATCGGAAAAATCATGAGATCCTAAATCGTGCTCTAATACCAATTATTAAGCGATAACATAATTTTTTTATGCGGAGAGATTCTGAAATCTAGAATCTTAGATCTTCATGATTTTTCACAATAAGAAGGATGAAGACATACCTTTATCCATAGCGATGCCCTTTGAAGATAATTGTTACAGAAAAACGGAAAAAACAAAGGAATCTGATTTCTCTCCCTTAACCCACTTTTCACTTAACGTATCTTATTTGATAAAGGATAAAATACAACCATTCGTTCTTATTGGTGGAGAGAGGACCCGACTCTATTTATATGGGCTATCAATCGGTGCCTTCCATCAAAGCACATTTCACTTCGTAAGAATCGCACCTCTTCGGAGGAACTGTAACTTCTGAATACAACAGTACATTTTCATCTTTTTCATAATCAATACATTTTAACACTTAAATAGTTATTAAACCATTAATTAATAACATCATGTGGGCTACAATTATTCTTACATGAACTTGATAGTAAAGTTGAGGGTAAAATTAAGGAGTTTCTAAGTAGTCCTAGAGGCAATCAAATCCGAGGTGAAGATGAAGCTCGAAATCAATTCCATAACTCGGAGGGATCCGAATCGCCAACCCAGGAGGCAAGTCCATGAAAAAGACTTGGCAAACCGAGGCGGAAGAAACCATGACTATCCAACTGCAAGAACAAATGGAATAAGAGAAAATTACGTCGCTTGTTATTGGATTGGAATGATGAAGTAAATAAATTTTTTGAGACGATGGATGGGTGAAAAAAGAGAGTTTACCAAGCTTAAAGGAGGTACTATTGTATGACACGATTGTTGATGCCTAAATTTTGGCTAGTCATTTAGAAATTTATTGCATAGAAAATTAAGAACCGATCCTGGTCCCTAGAAAAAATATTAGTTAATCTTCGTAAATATTCCATATAGTTTAGGGACATTCACTGTATTTTAATCGGACTAGTGTCAAGTGGTTCTGAGCTTAATTGAATGGACTGAGCCCATGAGGAAGGGCTCGGCCAAGTTCAAGGAGACAGTGCTGGCTGAATTTTCATGGATCGCAGGGGTTGTTCTTAGCTTTAATTGAGTTGAATTTAGCATGTTAGATTAAAAGGCTTTGAGTTTAATCAGAATAAGCCCTATGGGATCAAGCATGTCATTAATTGAGTCCGTAAAAGAGCAAAATTCGGCCAAGTCTAGGCGTAAAGTGCTGGTCGAAATTCACATGTAGGAAGGGGGCTCAGTCTATTAGCCAACCCCTAGGTGGTCTACTTTCGGGAGGCTCGCGATAATAATATGCCCCGAGACAATCTGCCACGCTAATGAAATCTAATCAAATGGAGATTTCTTATCACATACCATGAGCAATATTTATTCAATTAGCTTTAAAATTACGCGTGAGCGTCTTTCTTCATCCCTGATTGGAAAAAATTTCTTATAAATATGGTCAATCACTCACGTTTATGTTTATTTAAATATGCATATTAATAATGTCCCTCGTTTGGAAAACTCACACAAATCGATGTTGAACAAAACGAAAGAAGGGCATAGTAATAGCACTTCCATTATTCTCGATTTGCAATAGTTAAAATTCAGAAAGTTTAACTCATGACGACATATTCAATTTGTATACCGCTTATTGTCATCGAGGATATCTATAAATAACTTTCGTTTAATTCCGTCCATCTTAGGAACAGCCATTCGAACCAAAACCTAACTTTCTTCCAGCAACATCGTACACAACTTCAAACGTTTTCTGCTGCGTATTACCGTAAATGCCCAGATTGCTATCAGCACGATTCGGTGCAAAGGCTAGGCAAACTTGCGAGGCACTCGCGACGAAAAATATCCCTTTTGGGCCCAAATCGGCATCGACTCCCCCAGCAAAAGAGAATGTTATCAATGGGACCTTGATTGTGCTCTCTTTGCTGAAGTCATAGCAAGTATCAAGAATGGAAAGCGCCGGCGCCATCGTGTAATTTGCCATCGCATTCCTGAAGGCAGTTCTCAAGGCACTGTAAGCTGTTGGAGGCAATCGGGTAATAACGGTTCCCGAGTCGATGATGGCACCTCCACTTGAGAAAGCCATCGAAGGTATCGATAGACGATTCCCCCCTAGAGTGATTCCTAGGATACTTATTCCGTAGAATTGCGTGCTTTGTGGAACCTTTGATAACGGCGTGAAGCTAACCGAGCTCGGTGCTCCGCCGTCCTTGCCGAAAGTCAAGTGTCCGGTGTAGCTAGTGGTAGAGGGCAAGCAGTAGGAGAAATACTTGCCATATTTGGCTGCAGTTTGTTCCACGAAGGAGATGCTGTTGTCAGAGAGTCCGATCAACCCTGCTGCTCTGCCAAAGAGGCCTGAGTTGTCCTGGCCACAGCCAAATTCGAAATTGTCGATCACCTCCGTTGGCGTTATAGTCAACTTCTCAGTTGCGAAGAAGCCCATCGAAAATGATTGATCGCCGTATGTAATGGAATATAGACATGTTGATCGGGAGCATCCCGAACCACCTAAAGATAGAGCACAACACAATGCTTTCATTAGTTCTAGTTATTCTTGTGATGGTTTTTCACTTTTAGAAACCATGATTTCTCGTCTATGCTTCAAGAAAATTCTAGTAAGACAACATAAGTATTAAGTATCTCAAATGTGGTGGATTATTACCAAGTTGAGAGCATGATGTCGAGGCGCACGAGATATTAGCATAGGATGACGATTGAGATGGGTTGAAGATCGGTTCGGACTGAGTGTAGCAAGATCCAACGCACGGCTCGCACTGGGTCCACGTGAGGCCGCTGCCAGTGTCAAATACGAGAGTGAGGTCCTTTTTTGGCATGCCGAGACCGATTGTCACTACGTAATTGCCAGTGCCGATGGTGAAGCCAGACTTTGCCGGAAGACTGACCATGGCCGAAGCTTTAAGGCCATCGCCGCGGTTGGAGGATTGGGACTGAATCCACTTGACCCTTGATTCATCTTGTAGCAGGACTTCAGTGTGATTTAGAGGATTGTGGTCTTGAACAAGGGGAGAGCATGGGCCATGCTTGTGAATTACTTCCAAGGTCGACTTTCGGCTGCTAGCTAAAATCATGTGATGTGAGAGTAAGAGATCATGTGAAGTACTTCGATGATAATGCATTTGTAAAAGAAAAGATTGTTCTATTTTTCCAGTCCACAAAGACTTACGTTTGGGTGTGGTCCACTCTGAAATAATCGGGATGAGAGTTAACTGGGGACCAAGTCCCTTTACTAAAATGCAGCAAAAGACTAGGCTTTTTGAATGGGACAGATCAATATGATCACCATCATTGTATGGCCAAGTCCCTCCACAAAATGTAATATGAACCATTCGGCGCGAGCTAATGCAAAAGAGACGGATGACCTCCCTTATGTCTTCTTCTATAATTCTCTTCCCTCTTAATTTCCTCATTAATATAATCACACATTCATTGTTTTGAACAAATAGTTTAAAGCGAAGCCTGCTTTGCCAAAAGTACTGTGTGAAAAATAAGAAGAATCCATGGTCACTCAAGGTGCAAGGTATGACTTTCTATGACTAAGCGGAGAGCGGTATACTTTCCCTCCATCCTGTGGTTCATGTTTGATTATCACGGGTACCGAATTTAACCAATCTTGTTCATGTTCGAGTTCATTCATGATCCGAAAAATCACTTTTCCACCGAACATAAGTACAATACACACGCATAACTGATTTATCGAACGATGAATAATTCCGTGGAGAGAGAGAGAGAGAGAGACCTTTGCTAGTGGAAGGCGAGCAAGAAGGAGAAGGCAATAGAGAGCTAACTGATACAGTGTGGCTTGCAATCTTCCCTTCTACTCCATAAGTATAACCTTTGTGCATGAAGCAAATCATGAGGATATGGAGAGAGAGAAAGAGGCGAGCCCCGTTGAACACACAGAAAAATGAGCCCCCCATCAATCTGAAAGAGAAAAAATGAATTGCTTTGCCAAATTTATTGCCAATAGTGCTCTCCGGTTCAGCCTTTTATATAGGATTTTCGACCGGCAATTGCATCAGATTATGAAGCCATACACGTCATCCTTCCTACAATTAATTACATCATTCCGTCAATTCTGTCATATTTATATTTAGTACTATTTGGTTATTGGACGAACGAGCAACCATTAGGCATAAGTCGGGAAAATTGTCCAAAAAGTCCTAAATCTATTGCGTTTTTGCCAATTCAGTCATAAACCTTTTAATTTTGCAAATTGAATCCTAAACATTTTCAAGTTTTGCCAATTGAGTCCATCCGATCAATTTTGGCCGGAAATCGCTGACGTGACAGTTCGGTCAACACTGGCGTCCTATATAGCATGGCAGGTAGTGACGTGGATAAATTTTAATAATATTTTAATATTATTTCGAATTTTTATTAATTTTTTTCTTTTCTTTTCGAATTTTTATCATATCGCCAGCCCTTTGAACCAAAAAAGAAAAAAATAAAAAGAAAAGAAAAACATAAAAATTCAATAAAATTCAAAGAAAAATTTAAATTATTGTTAAAAATTATCCTTGTCAACGTCGGCCGTGCCACGTAGGACGGTCGACGTCCATGTCAGCAATTTCCGGTCAATTTTGATCAAATGAACTTAATTGGCAAACTTGAAAAGATTTAGGACTCGATTGTCAAAATTAAAAGATTTAGGACTGAATTGGCAAAAGTTTAATAGGTTTAAGACTTTTTGGACAATTGTCCTAGTCGCTTTCCTCCGCTTAAATTCATTTTTGTTGATAAACAACTATTGAGCATGAGAGCCTGTCAAATCTCTGAAGAGAGAAACTAAGTTTTTCTCCGATCCGGTGACAGAGAGTCCAATCATATGTCTGATTGGTGAGTCACTAATAATTCGTATGCGAACTTAGCCAAAATTAAGTACTCGATTTACTTTTGAAAGATGACCTAATTAAATTAACTAAAGGCCAAGTAAAGAAAATTTAGTAAACAAAATATATTGTAAGTGACACCATTTGTGTAGCTATAACATAGTTAATTATATTGTTTTCTAGAAAATTCAAGACGCAATTTGGCAAGGAAAAATTGAATTTATCGAATGATTGACGACTCTTGGTTATTTAATTTAAAAGAATCGAATGATTGATAAATTATTACATTGTTTTGAAAGGAGGCATAAGTTGACACCCGAAAATGACCAACTTTTGGTTGTTATTGACAAGCGATAGACTCAGTCAATGAGAGCAGAGTTTGGTCAAAACCAAAAGTCATCAATTAACAGAACAACCGACAACTTGAAGGGAATCAACAACTTGTCAATGAAGTCATCAACGACATACAACATAAAAGTTACCGACAAGAGTCTTCATCAAAACTTAGCAAGTCGATCGACAATGTCATCAACAACAAGCAATCGATATAAAAACATAACTACTAGGTTGTTGTGTTTATTGCCGCTATTTTAGGATTTTTATAAATTCTTGTAGATTAGTGTTGTTAGATAATAGGAGATTGCGTAACTTCTTATAACCCCTGATAGAATTAGAAAATTATTTCTTTATTCAAATGAAGTAAATTGTTGTATATAATTGTCTTATAAATACCCCAAGTGTATTCATTGTAAAACCATCGTCAATTATCAAGAACATATTCCCGGTGAACTTTTATTAGTTTATTAATGTCAATGTGTTTCAATTTCTATCATTTACATTCTTTTATCTTATAATCCATTATTCTTCTGCTTTATTACGCCGCTTGCATTCCTATCCGAATTCACCACTGAAACCCCCATTTCATTGAAACCAAAGATTAACTTTTTAGTTAAAGATTTTTCACTATCTCGGTCGACACCCATTTCGAGTGAAATACTTTAGTTAGCTTTTGATTATGAATTAATATTGAGATTAGTAAGTTATTGCCAAGTTCTGGCATTTCTTCCCCTTTCCTGTGTCTTATATATGATTTCCTTGCCTTTCTTGCTATCCCATTTGTCTCCCATTTCTACGATTCTCATGAGTGTTTTGCTAACCGATTCTGTCCCGTTTGGTTCGGCTTTGGGGGAATGCATTTGGGGGAATGCAAATAGCTTTAGGCTAATGGGGTTTTCCAAAATACAAGTAGTGTTTGGTAAGTGTTGTTTAAAATCAACTTGGGCTAAAGGACTTTTGCTAATTTTATTTTTTTTTTAAAAAGGTTTCGGTGGAGCTTAACCACCGGCCACCTCTGCCGACCAGATCTGGTCGCCGGCCACCGCCGCTTGACCTCAGGCGAGGCGACCTGAGGTCGCCGGACCTTAGGCGTCGCCTGGGTCGCGCAACCCAGGCCAAGCGTTGCCTGGGTTGCACTACCCCCAGGCGGTGGTCGCTGGGGTCAAGCTAGCCCTCAGGCAGCAGTCGCCGGCCGCCGGACCTGCCTCTGGGGAAGATGAACAGTTGCAATGAACAGTGCAAGTTGCATTCCGAAAATGCAACTTCTTAATCCACCTTCACCCTTGCATTAGCCAAAAGTCCCTTAGAGAGCATTCCAAATGCAATTGCATCTCCCCAAAGTGAGTAAAAAAAATTACCAAACACCATTTGCATTTGGCCAAGGGACTTCAGAGCTCAAATGAACATTCCAAACGCTGAACCAAACGGGCCCTCTGTCCGACACCAGTTTGTCCTTTCTTTCTATTGTATTCTTCTCCCCTTTCTACGATGCTAAAACCTTGTCTAGACTGTCTTTGTTATTTGCTTCCGCTCTGCATCAATTTGGTATCGGAATAAAAGTTCTAAAGTCATTTGCTTACGTGGATGCCCGCTGACCACAAGCAAGGGCCCCCGCACCCTTGCCTAGATCCAAGTGAGGGTCACAGCCGCCTCTCTTGTAGCCGGGGCCCCGGCAACCATAGCGGCCGGAAATCCGATGAAGGAAAAAAAAGAAAAAAAAAAGAAGAGAAAGATAAAAAAGAAAAGGAAAATTCTAAAATTTTGAAAAATTTGCAAAAATCGTTCACGTTAGCGCCGACTGACCTTGCCATGTAAGATGACCGGCACTGACTGGGCATCCATATAAGCATTTGGCCAAAAGGGCTACATTGGCAAATCGTAAAAAAGGTTTAGGATTAGATTCCTCATCGTACAATAGGTTTAGGACTTTTTGGATAATTATCCATGGTTACTTTTAATGGCAAGAAATCGTATTGTTACCTTCTAAGCCTAAAGCTTCTCCCAAGATAACTAGGCCTAATCTTTCGAATTCATCACCTAAATCATCTGTTTCCGATTCTGAAAACTTTCGAATTTTTCCATCTAAGGAAATCAACAATAATTTTTTTTTGCCGATCCAGTCATTCCTCAGGGAGATTGTCGATTTCTGATTCTTCAGTCGAATCCCCTAATTTTTCGTTCTCCAAATGCTCAGCCGATCTTTCAGACGTTTGGATTTGATGAAATTGCAAAAATCAATTTCCGAACTTTCTTTATTGCTCGGCTGTGCTCATAGCCGATCAATTAAAGAAAATTCTTTTGGCCCAAAATTTCTCTTGTAAGTTTGAGTCTTTTGAGTTTCTTGACTTACCTCATAATTGAAAATACTAATGCAATACTCACGTTTGGCAAATTTATGCCTAGCGAAACTATTTCGGAGAAACTTACATCTCGAGATTTCTTTCTAGGAGATTCAATCAAGACAAATTTCTTTTCAAAGCTACCCAATTCTTTTAAGGGGATTGATTAGGGAAAGTGTGCTCCTGTTATTGATAGCGATGTGAAGAAAGTTCAAAGTTCAAAGAGTGTCCACACGGTTTGATTCCCCATTTGCGAAGCAATTTTATCACTTTGCTCGTTGAGAAGGATGTCCACGCAGCTCGCAGGAGTCGAGTTCTATCCGATGGAGGTAAAATGATGAAGAATTAGAATTACACCGAGATTATACTTTTAATTAACTTTTCGATCTTTAATATATACAATTTTTAGCTCATTAAGAATTTAGTTGAATATGTTTCATTTTTAATAGTTATCCAATTTGGAAATTAGGTCTGCCGATCACACTGTCTATATATCGTTGTTAACGCATTTCCTTAGTTTTTTTTTTTTGGTCAGCAACGCATTTCCTTAGTTACGGCCAAACTTCTGGGATTTCTCCCGATTTCCTCTGTCTTTTAACTGATTTCCTTCCCTTTCTGGGTATCCCATTTTTCTCCCATCTCAACGGTTTTCAATCTTGTTTTTCCCTTTCGGGTGCATTTGTTTTGCGCAAGATTAACGATTTGGAAAACATTTTTTTTGAAAAATGAATGCTTATATAACTTACAAAAAGGAATGACTCAAAAATATCTTTATCGTCTACAAAAATGTTCAAACATAAATTATTGTGGATAACATAAATAATTTTTTATTGACTAATTATTTCAAGCGACACAAGCGATTAGTTTTAGAAAAAAAATTTCCAACTATTCATTTTTCGCGAAACAAACGGAGCTTTTGTGCTATCCTATTTTCGTCCCCTTTCTATGATTTTAAACCTATCTTGACCGTCTCAGTTTCAATTTATAATAGTGATAGGTTTCACATGTTTGAAGGCGTGAAAATTCATATTTTTTCGAGGCGGCCTATGTAAGGAGGGATTTAATTAACAGAAAGATTAAACATACTGAACTCTTAAATATGCTTGGCAAATTCGGTTGTGGGTATATAATTACATATGTAGACATTTGGAAGGTAGTTGACATGTCATTGATTTTTGGTTCCGGTGGTGCTTTCTCGATTAATCGAGCCTATTCCCAAAACTAAGACTGATGTTGAAACTTGCGAGCAGTATTTAAGGTCCCATCATTTTCGCGGAAAATACATTATTTGGAAAACATTTTCCTAAAAATAATCGTTTATATCGCTTGAAATAGCTAGTCTAAAAAAAGTTTCAATTATCAACAACAATTTAAGTTTAATATTTTCTTGTATGATGAAAATATTTTCCGTACATCCATTTTTGTAATTGATAAAAATGAT